CTATTCTTATGCCAGTACCAACTTCTTTGATTACTGTAGTTTTATGGTTAGTTTTAAAATCAAGAAGGGTGACCCTCCACCTTTTTTTTCTTCTGCATTGTTTGCTGCAAGAACATCTAGATTGCTAGCCGTAAGAACTGTAATTTGTAACACAGTTACTTCCTAGGCTTCTCTAACTTATTCCCCAATAGAAAAAAAAAAAAACAGTAAGAAACTTTATTTGTAGTTTCACAATTAATTTGTCTTATCACCTTATGGTCACTTTGCTTGAAGCAAAGCTAAAATGGGTATGGAGCAGAGACTGCTACAGTGTGGTCATTGTTTAAGCATTTTGTTTATTTAAATATTTATTTCAATGAGAGGTATTTGGGTACAAAGCTAGCTTAATTCAGCAAAGGTTGTATCATCAGGAGTTCTTTTTTTTTCTTTTTTTGGAGCAGTCTCACTCTGCTGTTCAGGCTAGCGTACAGTGGCATAATCTTGGCTCATGCAACCTTCACCTCCCAGGTTCAAGCAATTTTTGTGCCTTAGCCTCCTGAATAGCAGGAATTACAGGTATACACCACCATGCCCAGCTAATTTTTATATTTTTAGTAAAGACAGGATTTTGCCATGTTGGCCAGGCTGGTCTCAAACTCCTAGATTCAAGTGAGCCACCGTGCCCTGCCTGTATCATCAGGAGTTCTGATCAAAGAGGCAAGCCAAACCTAGAAAGCCTTCCATTCTGCTCCAAACACATAATAATGCAGGAGAAAAAAAGTGTTATCTCAACAGCAACAGCAACAACAACAACAACAACAAATCAGCTCAAAAGAATGAAAGGGAAATCCCCAGGTGTTAGACAAGAAAAGGAGCTTGAAGTCAGAGCAGGGAATGTTAGCTGAAAACAGTGGATTCATAGGCCTAATGGGTAGGCCTTTGAGAGCCGTGGAGTGAAGCCTTCAAGCCCTGTTGTTGGCAGTACGGCAAGGGTGCAGCCCCTCACATAAAGTCAGACTCCTCAAAAAGGCTGTGAAGCAAGGATTACAAGAAATTTCACTCACTGCCTAAAGACAGAAGCAAGAATGCTTATAGTGTGTTTGAGCTTCCATAAAATAATTAGAAGAAAATGAATAATCAAGAATTGGCAACGTCAGCTTACACCTTGTAAGTATATGTAGGTATGAGGAGTGAATTTACACTGCTTCCTTCTTATAGGCAGGAGCTATTTTTCCCATGCTAAGAAATTGATGTTAAAAATTGTGCTGATATCAAATCAAATTTAAAAAATTAAGTCCAACTACATGTTGTGATTAATAAAACTACACATGAAACTAAAAACAACAGAGAAATTTTCAAAATAAAAGGATAAGGAAAAAACATATTTGACTGAACATTGCTGATATTCCACTGTTTTACCTACAAAAATGGCAATTTCATTTTACTCAACGAATAATAAACAAAAGAACACTAGTAGAACTGTTAGTAGTGGCGGGTATTCGAGTTACTGGTGGCGAATTCATACAGGTCTGCAGAAACCTCAATTCTTGCCACCTCAGAAGAAAGAATTCTACTGAGGGTCGTAAGACAGGAAAAGAGACTGAGGCAAGTTTCAGAGCAAGAGTGGACATTTATTAAAAAGCTTTAAGGCAGGAATGAAAGAAAGGAAAATATACTTGGAAGAGGCCCAGACAGGCACCTTGAGGTCAAGTGCCCCATTTAACCTTGAACCTAGCATTTTACGTGCTGGCCTACTTCCAGCATCTTGTGCCCCTTTCCCTTCATTCTTCCCTTATGTGTGGTGTCCTGCTTGCGCTTGGGAGGTGGGCATGCACAGTGTGTTTACTGGAGTTGTACACATGTTCACCTGAGGCTTTCTTCCCTTTTCTGGTGATATGCCCCCTGAAGGTCATACTCCTTCATTTTGCCTGTTAATGTATATGCTTGAGCCCACTTGCCCAGTTCCTGAGATCTTACTGGAAGCTGCTGATTATCAATTTCAGGTATTTTTTTTTTTTTTAAAGATGGGGTTTCACTATGATGGCCAGGCTGGTCTTGAACTCCTGACCTCAGGTGATCCACCCACCTTGGCCTCCCAAAGTGCTAGGATTACAGGTGTTAGCCACTGTGCCTGGCCTAATTTCAGGTATTTTTATCTACTCAGAAACTGCCTCTGCCTGGCACTGGCAGTGACTGATTCTCATTTTAGAGAGGCAGTGTGACAGCTGCCGGAGCATCACTTGATAGTTGCCTGATGTTCCTTGTGAGTTGGGGAACCCTCTCCTGCTCATGCCTGACTAGCTACCTTCTGTAACAGAAACATTGTAATTTCAGACTCTTGAGGCAAAAGCACTGCTAGGGATACAGGCAAACTCAAAAACAATAAACTAAAAAGATAAAATAATCTTGAAAGTATTTACTAATGTCTCAAAATATGTATAGCAAAAACTGTATTACAAGGAGAAATTGACAAATCTACCCTAGAGAAAACCTGGTGCATCTACACAAAGAGACATGTACAGCTGCTCATTTCAGCATTGTTTATAATAGCAATTATTGACAAATTAATACTTGTACAATTTTAAGTACTTCTATCAGAAATTATTAGACAAAAAATTAATATGAAACAGAGTTGAACAAACAAACCTTGAATCCTTTTCAAGAAATAGCAATATATAGTTGTGTATAGGGATACATTCTGAGAAATGTGTCATTAGGCAGTTTCATCTTTGTGTGGACATTATAGAGTATACTTTCACAAAATTGGATGTATAGTCTGCTACACTCCTAGGCTACATGGTATAGGCTGCTGTAGCTAAGCTACAAGCCTGTACCACATGTTACTATACTGAATAGTGTAGGCAGTCGTAACACAGTAGTAAGTACTTTTTGTGTCTAAGCAGATCTAAACATTGAAAAGGAACAGTATTGTAATCTTATGGGACCAATGTTGTCTATGTGGTCCATCATTGACCTAAACACCGTTATGCAGTACGTGACTACGTTTTTAAAATATGTAACTAATCTTTCCTAAGTTTACTACATCCTAGGCCACGAAAGAAGTCTCATCAACTTTGGGAGGCCGAGGCAGGCAGATCACAAGGTTAGGAGTTCAAGACCAGACTGGCCAATATGGTGAAACCCTATCTCTACTAAAAAATACAAAAATTAGCGGGGTATGGTGGCTTGTGCCTGTAATCCCAGCTATTTGGGAGGCTGAGGTAACAGTGTAATAAATTTAGAGATAGACAATAAACACAAAGGCTGAAAACTCCATATTTTGAAGATAAAAACAGTGCTTCTGAATGATTCATTTGAAAGAAAATGACAGTGAGGAAAACTTGTTTTAATAATATGGCAAACTAGATTAAGAAACAACTAAGAAACTTGTATAAAATGTGCAGTACACATTTTAGATACATTAATATACCAGGAAGAAAATAAAGAATTAAGGAATATTCAAAGGCCAACAACCAAAGGAAAGGAGAAGCTCCAGGAATTAAGCCTTGGGAGTATTTGATGAATCCAAGGCTCTTGAACTTCTATTTTTCATGGGCTGGCAGGATGCAGGGGATAAAACCAAGGCCCAGGGCCCTGCCCAGGCAAGTTTGGAATTCTAATCAGAGAGCCTCTGATATAAAACTAGGCCTCCCAAAGGTTTTCGCCTACAAAATAAGAGAACTAGAAACAAATCCTAGCATAGACTTGTAGTGAATCATTAGTGGATTGTGAAATGAATTATTTGGTCACCATTAGCATTGGTTTTTTTCAACATTGAATGTAGAAATACTTCATGTAACTTTTGTTTCAGTTTTTGTATGTTAGAGTGTATTTATCCATGAATATGTGTGTGAGTGCACTTGGTTGCATTATTTTTCATTGTTCTCAATTGTTAAGAAAATTTGAAAGCTGTAACCCTAGAGAAAACCTAGTACATGTACACGAAGAGACATGTACAACTAATTTCAACATTATTTATAATAGCAAACTACTGGGAGTAACCTCCATTTCTATCAATAGTACGATAAATAAATATAATTTTCATACAGTAGAACATTATCGATTAGATAAAATGAGTAAATTATACCTGTTTATGTTAACATAGATAAATCACAAAATACTGGGTGGTGGGAAAAAATTGCAGAATAATAGGTATAATTGAGTTATTTAAAAAAAAAAATACATATCACATGTTTGGGAATGATAGAGACCAACTTCAGTGCAGTCACTTCAGAGGACCAAAAAAATGGGATGAGATTGAGAAAGTGTTCCAGAAGTTGATTCAAGCTCTCCAGCTGTGTGCGTATGTGTGCACAGGCATGCGAGTGAGCTTTTTCCTTAAACAAATTTACAGTATGCCAAAATGTTAATATATGAATGATAGATATTTAGGTATTGGTTGTATTATTTCCTGTACTTTTATGGTGTTTGTAATATTTGACTTTCTAAAACATATCATATGTAAGTAGATAACTTGTAGTTTTCTTATAGGGTAGAGTCTTTAGAGGAATGATGCAACAATTAAGTGTTTAGGTATTCTTTAGTAAAGCACGTTCAGTTGTATTAATGCTTGTCTATTATATCAACTTTAATTAATTGAAAGGCATATAATTTCATAAGCATATTAATCATACTGGGAAAGAAAAAGTATAGGTAAGGAATACAGTATAAAATTTCAAATATGATGCGATTTTTAAAATTTACTTATTTAAAAAATTACTGTATTTTTAGAAAGGGAAATAGAATAACTCAATACTTTGAAATCCGTAAGAAGTGGCTCCAAAAAATGCTTATTGAATAAGGAGTTCTGATGACGAAAGGAAAAAATTCTTTGAGTATTACATTCATGAAAAAGTATAGGGAAAATAATCAAACTACCACCAACTGGATAAAAGTTAAAGCTTTCTACATTATATTATTGAAATTGTAACTTCTTGGTTACAGTGAAGCAACAAAACATACAAAAATATATAATGTATCTATAGTTTTATCAGTCACATTTTTTTGTTTGTTTCATTTAGCTGGTCACCTGACTTTTGAATGCCGCAATTTTCTCCGAGTAGACCCTAAAAGGGACATAGTTTTGGATGTCAGCAGTACAAGTAGTGAAGATAGTGATGAAGAGAATGAAGAACTGAATAAATTGCAAGCATTACAGGAAAAAAGTAAGCAATTTTTTTTTTCATTCTTTAGAAATGTTTGTGAATGTTCTGTCATATTATGTCATGCTTATCCATTATACTTATTAAGAGCTCTTTTATAGTTTATCTAAGAGCTACTGCACAGGAAATGAGTTTTAAATATTGTAAGTTATTTGCCAAAGATTGAACAGCTAATCAGTTATGGATCCAGGAGGCAAGTCTATTTCTGAACACAGCTCATGTTTTTTGTTGCTGTTTTCCTCCCATCACATTAGAATGTGTGTCAAATGGCTGAAAAAATGTTATTTAAGATTTGGTTCCTAGTCCTATTTGGCAGTTTGTTTTGGCACATGATTTGCACCAAGTCACCTAAGCACTCTGAGGCTCAGCTGCCTTGTAGGATAACACAAAATATTGGATTGTCAAATCATGCTCATGCAGATCAGCAATCTTAGCCAGTATCAAGCTTCACTAATAATTTCAAGTATACAAGTGATCATGAGGCATAGGCAAAGCAGAGAGTTCTAGGCATGCCAATACAGCTCCCCAGGTATTTCCTTTCTGCTTCAGAACCCATTCTGATTAATATTAATGTAAGAACTTTCTTTATTACTTACACCAAAGAAAGTTGATTTGGTCATAATACATACTCATTTTATGCTTGGATAGTTACATTTTCCAGGGAGTTATGCCCCATTAATCCATAGATTCCAGGTTTGTTTACCATAAACAATCTCAGTTACATCCTACTAAAAGTATGTAAATAATAATTATATAAATAAGGATTCTGTAGCTAACAGATATCATTTATTTTTTTCCAGGAGATTTGTTGTTAGTATTTCAGAGAGATTTCTCCAGGTCTGTGTTTCCTGGGCATATCCTCCTCTCTCCCTAGAGAGAGAGTGGATTGCAGACCTATTATTTAACCCTTTCTTTTTCACATGGTGTATAAATGGCTCATCCTTGCAGTGGGGTTTTTAGGGATTAAATGTGATGCTATAAATGAAACTACTTTGTAAACTACAAGCTGTGATGTGGCAAATATCACTCTGAAATAAAATATAACTTATTTGAATATGATCTTAGACAAGGAATGACAGAGTTGCAAATTTTAGATTCATTTTAGTTTAGACTATCAATGAACAGTAAACAATAAATTTTGTTTATAATGTCAAGCTTTCCATATTATGTCCAGTTAAGATAAGTGAAGAAGTCAAATGTAAGGTGCTAGAACAAGCTGAAAAGGAAAAAGAAGGAAAGAATCCCAAAGAGGGCAAACAAGAGTCATATCATATATGAGTATATGGGGTATAGCTTCAGGGTAAAGATAATTGATTGAATACACACCCTTACTTTTGTTCTCTATTGAAATACCACTAAAATGACAGAAGTAGAATACTCAAAAGCATAAACTTACAAAGGCAAAGAAAATGAGCTAGGAAGGAATAGCAGTAAAATTTTGGAAACTGAAAAGCAGATGGGTGATAACTGATTGCACTCTTGAAAAAGCTAAATTCTTTAGCAGTATGGAAAGCTGTGGAGTAACCTGATACATATTCTGAAATCCCCTAAAGACATGATAATTAGTATCCTTGGGGTTGAATATAAGGCTAAAAACAGGAAGATTTGTTGGAAGTCTCCAGGAGTTAGATCTTCAGTTCCCTTCCTCTGTGAAGACAGATGACTTCCCTTCATCACCCCAGCAGACTACTGGAGGTTTATTTTCTAGACAAGGTGAAACATAGGTTCTTTAAATTGGGACATAATAATCATAGCTGAAAACAGGGAGGAAGTTAAAGGCTGAGAACTTTCCAGCCCTCTTCACCTATTTGGTTCCAAGACATATATCACAATTAGTCTAGGAAATACTTCACTCAAATGAGTCCCAGAAAGAAAATTTCCACGAACTGAAGGACATTAGTTTTACAATTGAAAAGGTTCCACAAGTACCACACACAGAGCTAAAAATAGACCCACACAAAGGCACACCATCATAAAACTTCGTATCACAGGGAACAAGGAAAATACAACCCAGACTTCCAGGATCAGGTATTAAACAGGTTATCAGTCAAAGATCAGGAGTCAGAATAGATTTCCACTTCTCCAAAGCAGTCCTGAAAGCTAATAGATGTGGGGTTACCTTCAAATTTTGGAAGGGAAATTATATCCAAGTCAGAATAATATTCTCAACCAAATTATTAGCCAAGTGTGAAAACAGAATAAAGTTATTTTCAGATATCTCATTTTTGGTTAATTTTTATATGTGACATGAGGTGAGGGTACAGTTTTATTCTTTGGTATGTGGATATAACGCTTGACTCAAGACCATTTGCTGAAGACATCCTTTTCCCATTGTGTGTTCTTAACACCCCTCTTAAAATCAGTTCATCATATATGCCTGTATTTATTCCTGGACTTTCTGTTCTGTTCCATTGATCTATGTGTCTGTCTTTATGTAAGCACAATACTATTTTAATTACTATAGCTTTTTAATATATTTTGAAATCAAGGAATGTGATGCCTATTTTAATAGCTTTGTTCTTCTTAAGATTGCTTTGGCTATATGGGGTCTTTTGTGGTTCCATATACATTTTTGGATTTTTTTTATATTTCTGTCAAAAGAGCCATTGGGATTTTGGTAGGGATTTCATTAAATCCATAGATTGCTTTAGATAATGTAGGCATTTTAACAATATTCTTTCAATCCATGAACACAAAGATTGTCAAATGCTCTTTCTGCATCTATTGAAATATTCATTTGATTTTTAGCCTTCCTTTTCATAATGTAGTTTATCACATTTATTGATTTGCATATATTGAGCCATCCTTGCATTCCTTGGATGAATTTCACCTGATTATAGTGTATAATCCTTTTAATGAGTGTGGTTTGCTAGAATTTTGCTGCAAATTATTTCATATATGTTTATCAGGTATGTTGGTCTCTAATTTTCTTTTCTTTCTTTTCTTTTTTTTGAGGCAGAGTCTCACTTTTGTTGCCCAGGCTGGAGTACAGTGATGCGATCCCGGCTCACTGCAGCCTCTGCCTCCCGGGTTCAAGCAATTCTCCTGCCTCACCCTCCTGAGTAGCTGAGACTACAGGCGCGTGCCACCATGCCCAGCTAATTTTTGTATTTTTAGTAGAGGCAAGGTTTCACCATGTTGGCCAGGATGATCTCGATCTCCTGACCTCATGATCCGCCCACCTCGGCATTCCAAAGTGCTGGGATTACAGGTGTGAGCCACTGCACCTGGCGTGTAATTTTATTTTCTTAGGGTACATTTGTCTGGCTTTGGTATCAGGGTGATGCCAGCCTTGCAAAATAAGTTTGGAAGTGATCTCTTCTCTCCAGTTCTTTCTAAGTGCTTGAAATGAATTGGCTTAATTGCTTTTAAAATGTCTGGTAGACTTCACTAGCAAAGCCATCTAGTCCTGGTCTTTTCTCTGTTGGGAGGATTACTGATCCAATCGCCTTAGTTGTTACTGGTCTGCTCCTATTTTCGATTTCTTCATGATTCAGTCCTGATACATTGTATATATTGAGTAATGTATTCTTGTAAGTTATCTGATTGGTTGGCATATGTATACATCATTGTATTTTTTAAGATCCCTTATAATTCTGTGGCATTATTTTTACTCTCTTCTTCCAGCTCTAATTTACAGCCCTCTCTTTTCTGAGTTAGTCTAAAGATTTGTCAATTTTATCTTTTTATTTAAAAAAATTCTTAGTTTCTTTGAGCTTTTCTGTTGTTTTTCTAGTCTCTATTTCATTTTTTTTTCTAGTTTCTTAAAGATATAATGTTTGTTTTTTTTATTTTGAGACTCTTCTTTTTTTTTTTTTTTTTTTTTTTTTTTCTTTGAGAAGGAGTCTCACTCTGTTGCCCAGGCTGGAGTGCAGTGGTATGATCTTGGCTCACTGCAACCTCTGTCTTGGACAGACAGTATGAACCACCACACTTGGCCCTCTTCTTTCTTAATACAATCATTTATCATATAAACTTCCCTTTTAGTACTGCTTTTGCTGAATCCCATAAATTGTGGTATGTTGTAATTTCATTTATCTAGATTGTTTTTAAATTTCTCTTTTGATTTCCTCTTTGACTCAATGGTTGATCAGGTATGTGTGGTTTAATTTCTACATATTTGTGAATTTTCCAGTTTTCCTTTCATTACTTATTTATATTTCCATGCCATTGTGGTCAGAAAAAGATACTCAATATTATTTCACTCTTCTTAAATTTGTGAAGACTTGTTTTGTTGCCTAACATGCTCTGTTCTGGAGAATGTTCTGTGTGCTTGAGAAGAATGTATTCTGCTGGTGTTGGATAGCATATTCTGTATATTTTGTTTTTATTAGAACCAATTTCTGTATATAACCTACTAAGTAAACTCCTTATCCGTCATTGCTAAGTGAAAGAAGAAATTATTCCCATAGCTGCTGTTTTATTTCATTAATATCTCATAACTTTCTTGGGACATGTTTGCAATAGTTAGTCTGAAATTATTATAACTCCAAAAAAAAAAAAAAAAGAGAGAGAGAGACACCTACTAAATAGAGAGCTAACGTGACTATTTTAATGTCAGACCAAGTAGATTTCAAGGCAAAGAACATTACCAGGAATAAAAACAAGGAGAGTTTTTTTTTGTTTTGTTTTGTTTTTTGTAATGATAAAAGGGTCATTTGGTCAAGAGAACATAGAAATTGTAAGTGTTGGCTGGGTATGGTGGCTCACACCTATAATCCCAGCACCTTGGGAGGCTGAGGTGGGCGGACCACCTGAGGTCAGGAGTTTAAGACCAGCCTGGTCAACATGACGAGACCCCATCTCTACTAAAAATACAAAAAATGAACCAGGCATATTGACATGTGCCTGTAATCCCAGCAACTCAAGAGGCTGAGGCAGGAGAATGGCTTGAGCCTGGGAGGCGGAGGTTGCAGTGAGCCGAGATCGTGCCACTGCACTCCAGCCTGGGCAACAGAGTGAGACTCCATCTCAAAAATAAAAAAAATAAAATAAATTTTGTT